TCACATATACATATATAGTGACTTTTTTACTGATTATTTTTGATGTTAGACGATACCTCGGATTGTGAACTTATACACACTTACTTGAAGAATTTCTTTTTTTGCGGCATATGTCCACATATTTTTTACTAGAAAGCCAACGGTATCCGAAGTATGCATTTTATGCTTAAAGTTATAAGACACACACGTTTTGTATAATATTATCGAGTTCCTAATATTATACATTCCTTATATTCTATTATTATAGTACTTTGATAAGAGTTGTTGAATATAAAAATATAAATAGTATGCACGATCTATTTTAGGAAAATCAATACACTACTGCCTACCATGTCTACTACTTACTATCATTGTAAGAACAATGTGTTTATCAAAATATTATGTACATACAGTTTTTATGGTATGACTAAATCAATAGGTATGATCACAACTTTGTGATACATATCGGCACCCCTACCTCCTCAATCTTGAGTTGTTCTCTGCTTCTATTGACTGGTGTATTATATATTAGAATTATTTCTATACCGACAAAATAACTGAGAGAAATAAATTGCACTTTTATGTCGTAAAACATCACTTCATTTTCTCTCTATTTATAAGTTTAGTACCATTTGAGATTTTACTTTCTAGTGGCGCACTCGGCGTTCACTTTACTGTTTATTATTTAAATCTTAATTTCAAGCAGAATATCTCAACAAATGAAAATTTGATCATTGGTTCCAATAACAATATTTAATTGACCAGAATCTAAGGTTATTTATCTAATTTTCTTAATTTTTATCATTCATATCTACTATTGTTAACGTAATTAATTTATGACCTTAGAATATTGAACTGTAACTTATCGTGTTCATATGATTGTTCAATAATATTCCGATGTGGCGTTTACATTTAACATTAAACCAATATATATTTGAGAAATTAAAATAAACAAATACACACACAAGTCATATAATATATTAATTTTATTATCAAAACAGTTGTGCAGTGTATTTTAAAAATGTTGGGAAATAACTCCTTGCTTTGAAAACAATTACTTAACATTATATATTTACAGAAGGAAGTTATTTTTCATTAGTAATTATAATTCGTTATTCAATTAATTTGTTTTCACGTTGAACTCGGCTACGTAATATCTCTATGGCTTAATGTTATTGAGACATAACATTTCTTTTATGTTATCATAATTAAATTGTAAATTTCCATTAGTTTGTTCTTGATAATACCTCTTATTATTATAATTATTATAGGTACTAAAATCCACGAAAACAACGCTGAGTTTTGTGTTTTTAACGTTACTTGCTATAAACAAATACTATCTGGTTATAATAATATTATTATTATTATTATTATTATTATTATTATTATTATTATTATTATTATTACTATAGACATAACTATTAAATATATAATATTATACGACATGACATATTGTGTAGACATCTAGCATGCTCACTCCACCCCAATTTCGTCCATTAATTATTTATTAACATATTTATTTTTAGGTTTTTCATGTACTTTTATTTAAAGACCATATTAAATGTTTTGGTTCCTTAAAGTTGAATGCCGTGTAAGAATAGTTCTGTGGTGATACAAAATTATTATTTTCTATTAATATTATACCCTCGGCTAGTTTAATAATTCATATTTGATATTTATATACACCAACATTTCAAAAAAAATACATCTGTTTTATAACTCGCAATAAAAATAGAAGTTTGTATGGAAAACGGTTTATTTTTGAATAGTATAAAAATCCAATTATTTTAAAATATGATGTTTAGTAAGTATTCTTAACAATTCCAAAACTTAGAATTTGAATAAACACGTCATTTTACAAGATAAAAAGTGGTTGAATGCATACTTAGTGAATGATCTTGTGCAGATTATAATATAGTATACGTTTGTAAGTTGTAACTGTTACTGTAAACCTATCGCACAATTTTTATTATATAAATTCACTTCGTCTGAACAACATAGTAACAAAATGCATTGTGTGGGCAGGATAGCAAGAGGTGAGCTGCTAAACGTTTTATCAATTCAATTGAAGGATGTAAATATTTACGTTACAGAATCAAACACCAGACGTCTTGTCATCTTAAACCTCTTCTCCAGTCACTGACTACAAACAAAGCACTTATCGATATCAACAGGATTAACGATGCAAGTGTTGGCTACAAGTTTTAGTGACAAGTTATAAACCAAATAAAAAACCCTACGTGCTTGTTTTTTAACAAAATATTATTTCTGCCGTTATAATTATTTCTATCATTGACATGCAGATTGAAGAGAACCTCGGGTTTCCTAGGCACCCACAATTTTTGAATTCATAATACCGATGAAACTTGTGATTAATTCATAAAGTCAATAAATTGGTACAACAGTATGAATTCATTATTAAATCATCAAAAGTGTGTGTGTGTGGGGGGAGGGGGGGGGGGGAAAGGGATGGGATAAAGTTGGTCATTGTGTAGTGTACAGACCACAAGATAGTTGGAAATAAGCTGTCTCAAAGGAACTTCAGTTTTTTCATTTAAATTAATCCCCTGGACATATTATCATGATGTATTGTATATTACACGAGGTTGCCTGCTGAAATTCAAAGCTTGTGTGCACCTCAAATGAGTGAATTGCCATCTACTATCTGCAGTTCATCGATCAGTCTGTTCAAGAAAAGGGTCCTATATCAATCGAAGTGTAATGAATATTAGCAAGTAACATTGATTTTCAAGAGTATCTGCTGGTATCTAAATTAAAAATGCGGAGAATATTCTTAGAAGATGTTTCAATCATTAAGAGTTATATTTTACCATGAAATACCTGATTGGCATTTGACGAGAGGCAATGCAGCTCATTGACAGCAGTTGCACACATACGATGTTTGTTTATTGATCGAGTACACTCTATATTGAACGCGTAGTGTATAATACAAATGCTATTATGGAAATCCCGATTAATTAAAATTACTTTTAAATTCATTCCATAACTAGATTAATCACCTAAAATCAAATATTATACTTATTACAAATTTTTATTTTTTATTTTAATCTCTGTGACTCGGTGTATCGTTAATTATAACGGTAGTTTAAATTTGTACATTTTACATTGCGCTATCGTAAACATTTGTGCATAAAAAAACCTCCACAGACAATCGAAATTATTATTATTATTTTTACGTACCCGTGTATAAAAATAACGTTATTATATATTTAATAAACCCACATAGGTTTCAACCTTAAGGTTATTAAATTAATTGTGTTTTACCATAATATTGCATCGCATTGACACTATAAATACAATTTAATATTAAATTATCCCGTTTGCCCAAACAAATATTTGGATACGACAAACAAAAGGTAGGGTCGTTAGAAATATTTTTAATAAAGTATTACGTAATTACTACTAGCCGGGAATTTTTCGTAAGTATTTATTTTACATTTTCGTCAAAATGTATCACAAGTATGAAACAAAATACCACCACCGATTGTAGACGTTTCCGATTGGATATTATATTGAACAAAATATCACGTCAGAGTTGGTTAAAATCTTGATATAGAGTGAACATATTGGAAAAAAAATAAAACTATTATCACTTTTTTTTGTGAATTTGTTTTGGTTAACTTATGCAGTAATAACACTATTCAAATTTAATAATATAATACAATTATTATAGTAGTTATTCATTATTCGGTTCGTATATTCTAACACGGTGCTCTGTATCGTCAATTTCACTACATGCACGTCGATGATAAAATATATTATTTTGGGAAACATAAATATAATCCTAAGCTTAAAATAGTATTCAAAACCAACCATCATCGTAGCCAAAAATCAAAATAAGATAGTATTAGGTTTCTAACACATCTAAATTATAGATATTATGTATATTGTGAATGGTGTACCATTGTACCTACTTGTTCAAGTATATATATTATTTTTTTGTTATCTTTGGGAGCAAATATTTGCATTGTACAACCGGAGACGTTTATAACTCGTGACTCATATTTTGTATATTCTCTACAAAAATAAAACTTAATTAATATAATATAAAAAAAATCCAAAGAAGTTTTCCAAAGAAGATAAAGTGATTGATTTATCAGTTTATTAAAGCATTACATAATGATCATTATTATAAAATATGTAATGCGCATAATGAGAATTGTATCGTATTACATTTTTTTTTGTACGCAATAAGCATGATAGTACTTAGTTTGAATTTTGATATTCTTAATATATTTTTTGAAAGTATAGTAGGGTGTTGTGTGTGGAAATGTGGTCATGGATCTGTAGGTGTTGTGTAATCTTAACAAAAACAAAATCTGAGGTACTGGTTTTTATTATTATCATATTGTATTCTTTTGTTTAATTCTGATACACTAATTTCTCAGAATTCATAAAATTAATTTTTTTAAATTGTCCACAAAAACTGTTAATACTCAAAATTAAAAATAATATTATATTACATACATCCCCGAGGCTTGTCTACGTTAAAATATTATGTACTGCCTCAAATTTTCTGAGAAGATAATTCAATTCTTATTTTCATAATATTGATAATGTATTATTACATTTCGAAGAAACATACAAATTATAATAATACATAATATTCTGTTTAGAAAAAGGTATAATTTCGAGAACACGGGTAATATCTGATCTTCAGCCAAAAGCACACATGTTTTCGTGTGCTGTATAAGTATGGTGTTTCAAAACACATTTATTTTAAATTGAAACCTCGACGTTTCATGAATACGATTATTTCGTGATATTTACTAATTCATATAATCATTAAACACATATGAATGAAAATAATTTATCACTCCCTAACTGTTGTGAAGTAAATATAATAGAATTTATACTTTACACGCACCATTGTTCCGATGAATATTTAAAATTTTAATTTTAATGAAAAATATATATGTATTTTTATATGACTGTATGTTATTATATTAAAAATCGAAATATTTGGATTGGAAAAGTAATTATTATTTTGTGTGTTACAGGAAATGAAACTGAACTGGGTATCTTCACCGGGACCTCAGCTGAAAGCCGACACAAGTAGTAAGTACACAATATCAATACTGTACTCGCCTAGCGTTAATATTTGTAGTTACACGATGATAAATATTATTATTATAAAATACTAGGTAGTGCTGTGTACACGTGCTGAATCGATAGGACGAAATAATTAATATGGAATAATAATATTATATAAATCACAATAATATGACGTCTACAAACGTATACAATTACCTACTATAATATGATATTATAAAGTCTTGATTTTTGTTTTTACACCTCTTTGGTATAGTCTCAGCATGGCCTCGCACTGCCCGAGTTATCTAGCTTTCTGCAACAACAGTCTCGTTATAGAAATTATTATCAACGCGCCTTGATTTATATACACCCAGTTCAAAATCCTATATTATATCGTCCAGTTTGGCCAATTTATTGCACCTATTGAGATATTATGTCGTAACGAAGTATCCACAGTAAAAATAATATTATGTGCCTGAGATTACACTGCACCATAGTAGTCGATCGGCAATTTTTTTTACTAAAAAATGTTATGAAATGGAACGAAATCATCGTCATAACACTGCAAATAATAATAAATTGTAAACAATATGACGATTCGAAGGGTTCGGTCTCCTCTTCCGACTCCGACGACAGTACTTGTGGCAATGAGGACGTGTGACGATGGCGTACCCAAAGACCGTTCGTTAACCGGCTCGCCGGGCTTATACTACGTGCCAGACATATTTTTCACGGTCTGCGACGCAAATGTTCGGATACGCGTCATCGGTGACGTCGGTGGCACACCGAATACATATTAATACAATTATCTTCGTTATTATCGTTATCAAAGTTGTTCTCGTCATCGTCGCCGTCGTTGTTATGATTAGTTTCGCCACAGAAGGAAATCTCTACACTGTGACATGCGACACGTACATTTTTATGTTTTATCTTTCGTCCATTATTTTAAAAATAGTTTCCATTTATTTGGCATCACATGTTTAACCTACATTATCTGTCGATAATTATGAGAGGTCGATAACTATTATACGACTAATGGTGATCTATAAATTTACAATGCCGTGCAATCAATCGAAATGATTCCCGAACAGTGTTCAGGATGACGTGAAACTTAAACGATGTCGAAAATACGAAACACGTGCGACAAAAATAATTGGCCGAAAATAAAAGCTATTTTGGAACTTTTTTTATTATTGTTACCTATATTGATTGATTTTCAACGAATTTGATTTTTTGAGCCCTTAATTAATATTATGTGATATAGAGATGTGTCTGTAAAACTTGAAAATTTCAATATTTTTGGTAAGAATTCAAAGATAGTTCACCCACCTCTCCCATCTGCTGGCCTACGACGTAGTGTTCGGGGATCAGCCAATAAAATCAAAAATCAATATTTTAGTAGGTAATGAAAAATATGAATACTGTAGTTGTTGGTGGTGCAGAGAACGGGTATAGATAATAAATGTATAGTGACGAGTAGAGGGGAGGAGAAAAAGTCAGATAAACAATTGTTGACTACAAACAACTGCGTAGAACGTGTGGGAAACCACACACTAAAGTCCACCGCCGTTTCGAAGGTCACCGCCGGAGTCACCGCCGTGCGTGTTAGGTTGATTTTTTTTCACGCAATGTATAATTTAGTAAAAAAAAAAACTTTTTACTTATTAATATAATATGGCGACACTATAACGTACTATAATAACACGAAACGGGAGTACGCGATATACATTGCAATACTTTATATTATATTATGCTAACCTACACTATATCATGTATACATTAATACGGTGTCTAAAACTTTAACGTAGGACGATCGAAAGGAATATAATACTACTGTAATACGACCAAAAATTCCTGTGCAAAAAAGGCCAAATGAAATTTTTCCAAATTATATAATCGAATCGTCTTCCACATAGTTATTTAATATTAGCTTACCAGATACAGCTTTACATGGTATTATACACACGACGTCCTCATTTCTTTTTATCCTTGGCTATAATTGTATATTATTACCAATACATCTTATAATTGTCGTCATTTTTGCGGAATTTAACGATGGACTATCTTTTTTTTTTTTTACTTCAAGACACAACATTTATGGAGAACCGTTGAAACCATTTTTCATTTGTATCTTTTTTAAGACCGTCGTTTCACAGAAGAAACTAATGAATAACCAGTGAACGTTTTGATTGTACTGCGTTACAGGAACGTAAAAAAAGGTTGGTTCGGAAAAACGTATAAAACTACGACGAATTAAATCGTTGGGTCCACAAGGAATGGAACGTGCACGAAGAGTCGTTAAATGCGAAGAGAGCTACAGGAATAATAGATTCAATCTCGCGGTGGGGATCAACGATATGGAAGTTGTCCAAATTACTTAAGATATAATAATAGTGTTGTTATAGCAAAAATAAACTTCGATAAAATTGGAGAAAATCTAAAATTTGATGACATGAACTAACCTACGAAAGTCGAGTAGGAAATAATATTGTATACCTATATAATGATAGCAATTATAGTAATGGGTAAAATATGTATAATACTATTAAATAGGTATATAATAATAATAGTTAAAACTAAAATATTTTTAAATAATTATACAGGTAGCCTATAATAATAAATAATAAGGTATTTTTTTTACGCACATATTTTTCTCTAGACTTTTTTCCCCGTTTACTAACACAAATCAGTGGAGTTCGTAATCTTGGTAGAGTTGTTAAGTAATAATTATCGTTGGAGTTCTAACTCGATGTTTATAATGTATATATACTATCCCATAAAAAAATAACAGTGTTTATATTTCCCTGCAATTAGGTGAAACATAGTATTAATATACGCACACGGATTGTTTATATTATATTTTAATTTGCGAGGTCGACTACACAAGCGTGCGCAAAGGTACTGAGTAAAACTTACTTAGAAACATAGGTATAATAATATTGCTTACCACGATCAAATGACTATTGGAAGCATATTTTTAGATTTCACGACTTGTACTTAATAATATTTCAAAACACTTTCGTCATCATCCGTTCGAAAAACAACAATTATAGTATAATCGACCGCAATATATTGTCATCGATGTTCAAAGAAATATTTACTCTGTAGGTACTCTCCGTTGTAGACACTTTCGGCAAGTGTCTACATTATTGTTTATCGCCAAATTCTAGCATCGTTTTATAAAAATAAACTTCTGCCAATGTTGATTTATTATTATCTGAACCGAGGGTATACCGAGTGTGATATAGAAAGGTCAAATAAGGGTATACCTGTTACTTGCAATCGATTTTCGACTCGACGTATAATTTGTTATTTCGGTGACGTACAAAATATTATACATATTATTACCTATATAAATCAATCATTAGTATGATTACTGTTTGCATTAAAACTCTGTTGTGTAGACAATTTTACTACAAAAAACAGAATGAAACCAAAATCATTCACCCATTCAAATTTAAAATATAAAAAAATCCGAAGAGTTTTTAGTTCTGCTCTTTTATAACACTGCTTGAAACATGAAAACGTCCCTTTTACTAATTATACATACATGTCTAAGATCTATGAGTTTTTTTTTTCTAAACGTTTAAATTGTATATGATCATTTGGAAAAAAAGAGTATCATTATGAGAAACTCAATACTATACGTTAAATATAATATAATATGCTGAAAAGCCTGTTCATTGTTAAGTCATAATATGGTTTTCTAAAAATGTATTCCATGTATGGGCTAAAATATAACTCAGGCTATCAGAAGTTTAAGAACGCTTCAACGGCATATTTTTCGCATAATATAATTGTATTATACACATTAGTAAATAATAGTTAGTCAATTTAATTTAAGAATTCGATTATATTGATATGAACAATTTGGATTTTAATTTATGTAACTGATAATGAAACTTTGATGTAGCCATGGTAGGTATTCAAATTATGTTTTAGTTATATAAATATACGCGTATACATTATTCAGTGTCTACAACTGAATCGGCAGAATAATATATTCCGTATGTTTTCTTTTATTCTCGTAACTTTCCTTTTTGTGCTTAACGTGTCAAGTAAAAATATAACACGGAAACATCGTGTTGATATAATATTTATAACGGTATCACCTTTGTGACATATTTTATTTGTTTATCTCTGGATACTCATTTTTGTTTGTATATATATCATGCTCAGTGATTTTTTTGATTTATAATTTATTTTATTCTCAGGTAAATGTTATATTATTTATAAATATTTGTTGTACGTTTAGTGAGCAAAAAAAAAAAAAAAACTTAATATTATATTCGTACTGCAGACTATCATTCAGCTGTCTTGTATAACTGAGTTGCTAAATAAATAATTCAGAAAAATATTGCATTATAAAATTTTGAACAAATTTTGATTTTTCACCATAACGCAACCATTATAAAATAAATAAAATATACTTATTTACCGACTTAAGTTCTTGAATAGGTTTTAATATATACATAATAATATATTATAGTAGGTACTTACTATTTTCTTTGAATTATTCACATAACATTTTTTATGTTCCATTTGCTTTGAAGTTTTAGTTCATAAACACAATTTGAATCATGTGATTGAAAACAACACTATGAATTTTCAATTTGTTTGTTTGACTTAATTTAGATCATATTCTCCGAAATATAAACGCGTAGTCAAATCTTTTTTTCGATGATTCTGAAAATTCGAACTTTCTAAAATCAAAAACTAGTTTGTAATATGTTATATGTTTATGAAACGACGAAAAGCAATACATTATTGTATTTTTGACATGAGATAAGAAAATAAAAATGGTAGTATCAATATCCATTATGATCAACGAATAGAGAAGGTGTAAAAAAAACACGAGCACCGCATATCACTACCAAAATAATATCAGCTGCTAAAGGGATTCCAAGCAGGCTGTTTTTTATGGTAAAAAGTCCTACGTTCATTCAAACGCACTGATCGGTGTAACTGAAGGTGATATGGATTTTGAAAAAAGTTTGGTTTTACCTTATCGTCGTCTTTAGAGC